CTCCAGGCCTCCTATGGCACTGACGTCCCCGGACCCCGCGCGCCGGCATCGCCCCGACCTTTCCCCAGCATCCAGCGGCCTTTCCTAAGGAGCCGCGGGACACGAGGCCGGGCCGCCCAGTCCTTAACCCCAAAACTTCGCCACAGTACCGCCGCTCCGCGCAACGTCCCTAGGCCGGCGACATGCCGTTCACAACCCCGCAGGTGACCAAAGGGCTTGGTCTAGCACCCAGGCAACCGGGTACCCGTAGCCCAGCTCCCCGAGCCTGTCACCTTATAGACGGCCACACAGGCTGATGTGCAGCCCAGGTGAACCCCGATGGCCGCCATGAGGCGGCGGAGACGCCGGCAGAGAGGCCGGCAGCAGTAACGAGTGGTCCTCCGGCGACAACAGTGCCTGGCGGCGGAACAGGCCCATCAGACACTGCGGCGACTTCACGTTCCCTCCCACCCACTGCGTCCGGTCCCTCCGCCGCGGCCTCCCGCGCCGTCACCAATCAGGGTGAAAGTCCCGCCTTTTCTCTAAAGCAGTCGGCGAATAGCTTTAGTGCGTCTTTCCCCGCCCGGCTGGAGAGGCAGCGCGTGGGCGATAGTGCGCACGCGCCGGCCGAGGTTGGGACGGAAAGGGGCTCCTTCGCTCCGCCCCCTTCTATGCACTTTTCGCGAGAGCCAATGGAAAGGCTCGATTGAGTTGCGTCATTTGTCCCAGCAACCTCGGACAGATTTTTTGACGTCCCTTCTCTCTGCGCTCCTGCGTCTTGGAGCTGCCCCGGGCGGTAACAGTGCGGCTGTTGTTTATGCTGGTGGCGAGGCATTGGGAGCTGCTGGTTCAGCATGTGGTGCGGGGGCCCAGCAGCAATGGTGGCCTTTTGCGCCGGGTTTTGGGTCTCTAACCCGGGGCAGGCGCAGGGCCAGGAGGCCGGGGGGCGGCCAGGCGCTGACTGTGAAGGTGAGCGGTGTGAGACCTGCTTGCATGGCGGTGGCACCGCGTCGCAGTGCAGCTGTTGTCGGCTTTGGCTTCCCCCGGCCCTGGCTATAAATAACATTTCGCTCAGGAAATGTGAGCCCTGGCTCTGGTTTCTGATCGCCTTCGCCCAATCCTAGGCAAGTTTCGAGCCGGGCCCAGTGACACCTTCAGGCTGCGTTCTTAACCATGCTCTATTAAGCTGCTTCAGTCAAAACTGGTAGGTGTGGAATTGGATTCGATTTTGTGCAGACACGTCTAGATGCAGAGGACCCTGGCGCCGGATTGATTCTGCTGCCCTAACCGGCGAGACTTGTCTTTCTTTACACAGGAGGAGGCTTTCACGTTCAAGTTAGTTTGTAACTGCCAAAAGGACAAAACATGACAAATTGTCTGCAGTTGAGTTGAAATGTCTTAAATCAGAGGACGTAACTAACACTTGTTAGGATTTTACGGAGAAAAGTTTCTTTACAGAGGATTACGTTAGCTCCTCGAGAGGGAAGGAATACAGAAGAGTTGATTTCCTTTTTTGTTCACAGAATCTCGTATGTGGACTTGCAGTCAGAACACCTAGGTCTACGTCCCACCCAGCCTTCCAGCTCTGAGGCCACTGTATCGGGTTCTTGCAAAATCAACATGATAATACCTATTTCAGAAGGCTGTTAACGAGATCAAAGATGATAATTAGCTATGCTAGCCCCTTAACTCCTGGACTACTGTAGCACTTCCTTCCGTGTTTCATTCATTGAAGTAATTAGTTTAAATGTTTATCACCCTCACCCTTCCCTGAGCTTGCGAATCTATTCTTACATAATAGGAAATTGTAGGTTCACAATATATGTTGAAGTAATGGATGGGTATATATGGTACTATAACTGAATAAAGTCTTCACAATCGGAGTCCAGTTTTCTATCAGCGCTGCAATAATTACACTTTTCTCCAGAAATTTAAAATACCTACATGATACTGTTTTTAAACTTTAGATATAGATATTTGCTCAGCTAAGTTGTAATTTAATTTAAAGATCCCTTTATGACTGCAACCTAGATGTTTAAAGCAAAATTTGTGAGGCATAAACAATTGAGAGAGTTAGTCATCAGTAACTTAATTTCTGGATCTTTGACTTAAAACCATTTCAGAAGGGCCAGAGCATCTGGACTAATTAAATGTGAGGCTTCTAACATCTTTCCTGAATTTATTACAACCTACTGTGATTATTAACTTGCATGTCTGACTAACCTGGGTATACATTTACATTCGTTAAAGAAATTGTAGAATCACAGTGAAGGAAGTACTGGTTTTAGAACAAGAAGAAATAGAGTCTAGATCTGGCTCTGTTTCCTCTTATGAGTGGTTATCATCAGCCAATTAATTTCCCCACAATGTATAAGATTAAGATGCTGCACAATACATACTGTAGGGCAAATTTCCATTCTTGACTACTCTGTGGCCCAGGACACTACTGACTTTTGTCAGTAAAAACTAAGAGTCCATGAAAACAAAAATATTGATGTATTTTATCAAGTTTATAGAATATTTTGAAAAAATTTAAATTCATTGGCTACATTTTAAAATTGGGAGATGCATATTAAAAAAATGCAGATTTCTGGCTTATCTGGAAGACCAAATGACCAGTCAAGACTAGCCCACGTGTCCATCTAGTGGGAATTGGCTGTGGCAGCTCTTTTCAGAAAGGACGTGTGTTCTCCAGGTTTTTGTTTTTGTTTTTCCTAAACTAGGATCACTTTACCCATTCCTTTTACTTTCCTGGACCCTCCTTTTAGGTCCTGTGAAGCTAACTGAAAAAAAAAAATGTAAACATTTCTGGATCTCCTTAAAAGCACTGTCTTATGGGACTACTTAATTTTTTTTAACTTTGAAATAATTATAGATTCACTTATGGGACTATTTTTAAACAAAAACCCTACAACATAAATAAGAGGAGTATGGTTATCTGGTTATAGCAATAAATACATGCCAGGAAACTTAAATTACTAATTTGTTTGGTGATTTATAGTGAGATTATTTTCTTCATGTCAACCCAAGGAATAACTTTCCATTTTTATTGTGACTTCTCTGTGGCATGGGGCACCACTGACTTCTTTCTTTTTCAGAAAATGTCTTCTCTTGATGGCCATGAGAATGCTTTATTTGCTATCTCTGTGCCTAGTTGTTCATAATACCTTTGTGGGCTTCTCATTCTCTAGCCATGGCTTCAATATTAGAATTTTCCACAGTTCTGCCCTCTGCCCTCCTTTCTTCTCAGTCTAAACATTCTTCTGTGCAATCAGAATAAACCGATCAAAGTCACATTAATCTCAAATGTTTATATCCAACCCACCTCCTTTCTAGAATCCCAGACCTTGCATCCAACTGAAGACTGGACATCCCTACTTAGGTATCTTACACCTCAGACTCAACAGAGTCACAAAGTCGTAGTCTTCCCCGCTACTCAGTGCCCCAAACCTGTTAGCTTATGGCGTCAGTAGATAGCTGGTCGGCTAGCCAGGGACTTCTCTCTCCCTGATCCCATACACCCATCCTTTGTCCTTCCCCAACTCCAGTGTTTCTGCCTTCCTTACTGCCACAACAGCATCCTTCCCCTGGCAGCATGATAATGTTATTCTCTTATTTAATATCTTGCGGTGATTTACCAATTTCCTCCAGGGAGGTGCCTCCCCTCTGTTCTCAGACAGTATCTAGTGCATGTCTCATAGTGTTGAGAAATTATCGTGGTCTCCTCCACGTGGACACTCCTGGAAAGTCAAGACTCTCTCTCACGACATCATCTCCAGCAGCTACCAGGGTGCAGGGCATAAGGTAGGCACTCAATTCTGTTGCAAATGTATACATATATGCTGCAATAAAATTTTGTGTCACTTTTAGTGAGTCAAAAGTGTATCTTTTAAAGTCCAAGTTAGAATTCCCAACTCCCATCATTTAGGTAATACATTGACAGAGTGACAGTTGAGATGTAAAAGTCATATGTAGGTGTGTTGTTGGAATAGAGAAAGAGCAATGAGGCATTGGAACACCGGGTTTCTTTTGCAGGAAGAGGAGACTTAGAGGTCATTAAAGATGGTTTCTGCATTAATCATTACAGCAGGTGTCTCTTTTGCATACTAGGTCTATTTGCTAATTACACTTAGCAAAATACATGTTGGCAAATGTCTCATTTTCCGCATGCATTCTATCGATAGCATTAACACAGCTCATCAGTCAGTCCCTCCTTTTTAACCCTTTCTTTGCTTGTCTTCTGGGACACACTCTTTGATCTCATCCTGCCTTACTGGCTGTTCCTTTCATTCTTTTTCTGGTTCTTTCCATCTTCCCAGTTTCTAAACAATGGAATTTCACAAGACTGAGACCTCTCCTTATCCTGTGGTCTCATCGCACAAAGGCCATTTTAAGGTTGATGACCTACAAGTTTAGCATTCAACCTACAACTCAACCCTGAACTCCAGATTTATATACCCAGCAAATTTTCACTGTTTGCAGTGTCTGACATTGTATTAGGATTCTCCAGAGAAACAGAACCAATAGGATAGGTACATACATACAGATAGATTTATTATAAGGAATTGGCTTTCCTGATTGGAGGTGAAGATGTCTAAAATTTGCAGTGTGGGCTGACAGGCTGGGGGCTCTGGAAAGCCAACGGTGGAAGGCAGTTTGCTGGAGAATTCCCTCTTGCTTGGGTAATCTTTTTTGTTCTACTCAGGCCTTCAACTGATTGGATGAGTTATCCACATTATGGGGGGCAATCTGCTTTAGCCAAAGTTCACTGATTTAAATGTTAATCTCACTCAAAAACACCCTCCAAGTAGACACATAAGCCATATAAACTTAATCGTCACAACTGTGTAGAAGCATCTCAAACGTCACATGTCAAGACAGAATTCCTGCTTGTCTTCATGAGCGCACTTTTCCTGCAGCCTTCCCAGTTAAGCAAATGGCAACTCCACTCTTGTAGTTTCTCAGACCAAAATCCTTGGAGTCATCCTTGACATCTGTCTCCCCCTACCCTCTCACCCCCTCCACCATCCAATCCATTAGCAAATTCTTTTGGTTCTGCTTAAAACCTTTAATGGTGCCCCTTCTCAGAGTACGACCCAGAATCCTTACTGTGGCCTCAAAGCCCTAGATGACCCGGCACAGTGCTACTTACTTGACCTCTTTTTCTGCTATCCTCCCTCTTGGTCACTCTCCTTCTATCACACTGACTCCCTTACTGTTCTTGGACCTGCCAAGGACACGCATGCACTGTTTCTCCCCTCTGCCTGGAGAGTTCTTCCCAAGCACTATGTTTGAGTTGTTCTTTCACTTCCTTAAGGTCTCTGTACACACACTACTTTCTCTGCCCACCCCTTTTAGAAGAATACTATTACCTTCTATCACCCTCTATCCCCCTTACCATGTTTCTTTTTCTTCATAGCCACAAGATTCTTTTATTTATTCACAAGAATGTCATCCTTGAGAGTTCTTACAAACTTTCTTTTTCAACAACCTAGAGCATTGTCTGGAACTTACTAATTGACCAATAAATATTTATTAAAAGCACAGAATGGCTGTTCTAATTTGTGTTCTGTTCCTATTAAATAGCATGAGGAATGAATATAATTTCAAATTCTAAAAAATGACACTTCTGGTCCCTCAGCTGAAAGCAACTAAAAACACTGGATGAATAAAAGTGTGAAAATGTTTTAAGTGTGAGTTAGTAAGGCATACCCAGAGACAAAAAACACAGTGAAAGTGGAAACCAAAAGAGGTAAAGAGCCCCCTGAAGCTGGGGTTTGTCTTGAGGGCATTTGCTACCCAGGCGATCTGAACTTAGATTTTCATGGCTGTAAAATAAAGAGAATGGATAAAGTAAGTAATTAAAGAGAATAAAGACACAGCCCAGAATGTTACCAATAAGGAGTGAAATACTAGATTCTCCCCCAATTCCTTTGGAACCCCAGAGAGCTCGACCTTCATTATAAAGAGCGACCTGGGAATAACTACAGCTCTACTACCATCTTTAGAGACTAAAAAGAACTGTAATACTTGAATTATTTTTACTGAGTAAAAGAGAAAGCAAAAACGTCTCCTGATCATTCATACTCACAAGCTAGCATGTATGAAGCTCAAATTTACAGTCAACCTGGATGGCCCCAAACATTACAAACTGAGAATTTAGTTTAAAGAGATTTCAAGCAGACATCAGTAAATGTTAATCTTACCTATAGGAATCCACCTTCCACCCAGTCCCACAAAATTCTAGTAACTCCCACAAAAATCCTAAGAAATAAAGTTCACATTCAGAAAAGTCACAAAGCTATGGAAAGAAGGGCACCATAAGTAGCAGAGATGAGACAAGAGACAGAAGACACAGACCTGGAAAGGCTTCAGGTATTAAAATTATCAGGCACAGAATATAAAATATGTTTATTATTATGTTTAAAGAAATAAAAGAAGGAATTGAAAATATGAATAAAGTCTAGGAAGCTATTAAAAATGTCCAACCATATTTGGAGAAGAACTAAATAAGCATCTAAAAGTAGAAATTAATCGATTAACAGCAGATTAGACAGAGCTGAGAAAAGAATTAGTGAGTTAGAAGATTGAAGAGCTTGTCAAAAAGGAATCACTGAGAGATTGAAAATGAAAATATGAAACAGGGACAGAAGTACAATGAGGATAAAGAGAAAAAAAAATCCAACAAAGGTTAATTGGACTTCCAGAAGGAGATGAGAGAGGGTATGGCTGGAGCAAAAGAGATGATAGCTCATTTTCCCAAACTAATCAAAGTCATAAACCCAGATTTTGAAGTTCAGCACATGCCGAACAGTATACATAAAAATCATTCCACATCTTATCACATCAGAAGGGAACTACAAAACACGAATGGAGAACAGAGACAATCTTCAACACAGAGAAGGAAGACTGATGACCTCCAAAGAAATAGCAACTAGATGATCAGATGATTTAACATTGAAAAGCCCAAAGTCACAGCTAGTAAACGGTTAAGCCAGCATTTGGACCCCGAGAGTCTGGCTTCAGCGCCCAAGCACTGAATCACTACCTATACTGCCTTCTGAGTGTGGCTTTGGGAACTAATTTATTTAAGGCAATATAAAAAAATAAAATTGGAACAATGAATTAGTGTACAAATTATTCAAGAACTTCTGGTTATTCTTAAAGTCTTAACTCATTGTAACATGTATTATATTCCCAGGCTTCTAGTCCTGATACCAGCAAGACTAATCTGGTAGCTTTTTTTGTTTGTTTTTCCTCTCTCCAAAATTAAGCTGGAGCAGAAAATGTGAGACTGACTTCAGTTCTAGAAGGTGTGAATGGAACTGTTCCTAGCCCACTGATAATTTAATCATTCCACTAATGTGATTGTAAACATTTATCATTATCTTTCTGAAAAAAGTTGTAGCTCTTTTCCTGCAGGTGGCATTGTTATATTCTTCAAAAGCTAAGTTAAATAGTAAATACTTAAGTTAAAAGATAAAGAGTGTAAGGCTACATAAAAACATCCAACTATATGCTTTTTACGAGAGGTGGGTTTGGAGAAAAGAGTTAAATCTTTCTCTTTCACAGGAAAAAAAAACTATAATATCTAAGACAGTTAGAAAAATAAATATCTAAGACTGAAAATAAAATTCAAGAATTAGCCACAGAAACATGTTATTTAAAATTTGTTAATTCCAAAGGAATCAGCTAAAAGACTTCAAAGTGAAAGCTTTGAGTTTGGGGGAAATGGGGAAGGGGAGGCAAGGGACACTGTTTTTCATATCAGACATTTTATACCTCATTGACTTTAGACTTGGTGGGGGGAGGAAGGGAGAGGGAGAGAGAAGAGATGTGGAAACCACGAGTATAAAAATTATTTTACGGGATTTTTCTTAAAGACGAGTGGAGAAATGGGATGGTATTTGGTGTTGGGGGCAATGTGATGTTGAGAGAGGTTTTGTTGTTTTTAAGATGTGAGAAATAACAGTGTGTGGCAGCCTAATAGAAAAAGCCAGGAGAGAAAGAGGGCAGAGGTGCAGAAAAAGAGAGTTGACAGTATCTGCTTAGCAGGTGGAAGGACGGTCACAGTCCATTCAGAGAATTAAGGTAGACTGTGCCGGTACAAGTGCGGTGGATGTGGTGGCAGAAGCAAGTGAGAGGTCTTTCCTCTTGCTTCCCCCCCACCCAGAGAAATAGGAAGCACGATCATCAGTGAGGCTGGGGTGGAGGTGTCAGACAAGGTTTCAGAGACAGCAGTGCGCCATCATCATTTTGGGACTGGGATAGAGTGTGAGTAAGGTCAATGTAGTAGGATTGTGGAGCAGCACTGATGGCTCACTTGAAATCAGTGATGACGAACTTGAAGTGAGACCAGTGAGCATGGCTGTGTTATTTCCTCCAGCTGTGTTCAGTGAATATAGGTGCAAAGTGGGTGGAGAGATGGCTTTAACCAGGGTTAAGGTTTTGCTAGGTGAGTACAACAAGGCAGAGAGATGCAAGGGAATTGAGTTTATGTGCAAAGGAGGGATTATAATGTTGAACCATGGAATCTGAGCTGGGTAGGGAAGCATAGTGAAAAGGTGGCAGAATCAATGGATAGTATGACCTGGCAAGGTCAGAGAAAGGTTGGCATTGGGGCGTTAGAGGTTGTGAGCTGTAAAGATGGGAGGTGATGGTCAGACAGTGGAATGTTTCCACTGAGATTCTAGAGAGGTGATAGTCACTGGTAATGGCTGGACCTCAGAGTATGACCATGGTGATTTTTCATGTATGCTGGATGTTAACCCTTTGTCAATTATATGTTGTAAATATCTTACTCCAGTTTGTGGCTTGTCTTATTTACTTATGATTTCTTTTGCATTACAAATGTGTTTAATTTTGATGTACTCAAATATATGATCTGTGTTTTGATATCTTCTTTAAGAAATACTTCTCTGTCCTGATGTCATGAAGATGCTTTCCTGTGATTTCTTCTGAAATTTTTCTAGTGTTGCTCTTCCCATGTCTTTATTCACCCGGGATTCACATTTCTGTGTAGTTTTGGAGAGAGATCTAAGTTTGTATTTTTCCATAGTAAGTTATCCTAGTGTCACTTACCGACTAGCCCATTTTTCTCCACTGATTTTTTAGCATCACTTCTGTCCTATATTAAGCTCCTCTATATTTATGCATCTGTTTCTAGACTCACTATTTTGTTCCATTGGTCTATATCTGTGCCAGTCCTACAGTGTTTTAAATGCTATAGCCTTAGAATTAGGTCTTAATATCAGATAAGGTTTGCTTCCCAAACACCTTCTTCCAACGTCTCTTGGTTTTCATTTGCTCTTGTTTTCTTCATATGTATTTTTGGATCAGCTTGTCAAATCTATAAAAAATCCTATTGGGATTTTTATAACACTAAGTTTATAGATTTACTTAAAAATGATTGTCATCCATAATACTGGATCTTTCCATTCATGAAGATAGTTTATCTTCCAATTTCTTAGGTCAAATTTTAGGTCTTTTGATACAGTTATATAATTTTTTCCTTCAAAATCTTGATATATTGCTAAATTTATTCCTGGTTACCCTAGAATTTGCCACTCTTCCTTATGGTATTTTCCTAGAATTCTCTTCCTAATATTAGGGATGCTGTTTTCCGCATAAACTCTGGCCTCCATTTCCTTCTCAGCAGGCTTGGGCTAGACACTCGCCCCTTTGAGAAAACAACATGGGAAAGCATCCTCCTCCTGCTGCAGAGGAACCTAGTGGATAAGCGTATGTGCCCAGAGTCAGACCATCTGGAATCGAATTCCCTCCCTATCACTTCTTGGGCAAGTTCATTGGCCTCTTTCTGACTCAGTTTCTTCATCTGTAAGATGAAGATAGTAATGTATCTGCATCAGAGCTTTGTTCTGAGATGTGAATGGGTACATACACATAACATGCTCAGAACAGTGCCAACGAATGGTACCTATGATTGTTCTTATTGTCTATGCCTCTTTGAGCTCCATCTCTTCACTGGCTCTGGACCCTGGGATTGAAAATGATTGTTCAAATTGGGGTTTCACTTCAGGACAATGATGATGGAACAAAGAGGCAGATGCAGACCACCAAGGGGCTTCACTCAAGACGCATATTCAGATTTTTCTCTGTGCTTTAAACTAAGCTGTCCCAAGCATCGTATCCTAGAGAAGGCGATGTTTCCTTTTAGCGTTAGTCAGATTTTGTGGGAAAGTTCTCATAAGGTAGAACTTGGTTCCAAAGAATGATGGGCTGATTCAATAAGCTCATATTATTCAAGGCCCAATACTAAGTTAATAGCTACAGCCTTGAAACCATTCTTACATTTAATTTGAATTTGTTGTCACAGTGTGTTGAATCATACTTTTTTATTTAACGAGTGGGACAGATACATAAATGTCGTGGTTATATTATACTTAAACGCACCATTTCTTCATTCCTTCTAGTATGCAATGAATTCCTGAGTCGATTCTACAACTCTCTGATAGCCAGAGGGATCGACTTTTCTCTGGAAACCCTAGAAAAAGAACTGATCAGCTTTTGCCTGGATGTCAAAGGAAAAGAAAACCGCCTGGTATGCACATTTTCACCTTTCATTTTCCCCTTGAAAACATTTTCCACTTGAAGAAAACTACTGGTCATTTCATTCCTCATCTTGAATTTAATGTTCTCCTACTTGGATGCTTGCCTCGAGCACCTTGACTTAGACAGCAAACAGGAACTGATCTTTCAGGGAGATGAAGTCACATATATTTTCATCTAGAATACATCTGGTTTCGTTTGGCTTTCTGAATAAACCACAGGGCAACCAAGTCCATGATCTCTTAAATAAAATGATACAATTGAATTCCTAATGAGAATTTACTGTCCTGGGTGGGTAGACCTTCCATTTCTTATCAAGACAATGAGTGAAACCTATCAAAATATTTTCATATCACTATTTATGCATAATTAATAAAGCATTTATGTTTTCTTGTAATGATGTTTCCTGGGTATATACACATGACTCGTTTTAATATACTGTTTTACAGCGCTACAGACAATCTTGGGCCAATTCATTTCACCTGAAGTTGTCATGTTGCATTTGTCAGTTAAATTTGCCTTGTTGACTGCTCACCACTGGTACCCTGTAAAATTCTCAGCACTTATTTGTGCCATTAAATGTTATATTTTAAAATGTAAAATGCTTGCCAGGTAGTTTAAAAGGGAGTAGAACATGATGGAACAGGGCATGGACTCCAGAGCCCAGAGGCTAGATTTTTTAATTAATTCAGTCTCTCCTACTTGCCAGTTGGGTGACCTCTAGTTGCTTGGGTGTAAAATGGGGATAATAGGAGTACGTACATCACAGGAGTGCTGTGAGAATTCATACATAATACCTTTAAAGCCCCGAAAGCAGCACCTGAAACAGACAAAAACATTTAACAAGTGTTGGTGCTTATCATCAGTCTTGAAGCATCGTGAGAATTGCAGGGTACTTCTAACTAGGCTGATCGTGGGAATGGAGTCATTCATTTTCTGGTGCCTTAGTGAGCAGGGGTTAAAATTTAATAGCTGGGCCATGAAAACTAGGTTAACCTCTTTCTCACTTCTTGAAACTACACTGCTTGCTTTATTCGGTGTCTGGGCCACTAAGTTCTCTTCATTCTCCTTCAGTGCTACTATCTGGGAGCAACAGAAGATGCAGCCGCAAAGATCCTAAGTGAGGTCACTCGCCCGATGAGTGTGCACATGCCTGCAATGAAGATTTGTGAGAAGCTGAAGAAGGTGGACAGCCAGATCTGTGAGCTGAAATATGGTATAACAGAGTCAAATGTTTCCTCTCCAAACGTCTGACATGGTGCCAATTCTCTAAACATAGGCCCAGCTGTCTAAAACGTCAGTGTTAGAAAGAAAGGAATTTACACTTGCCAATAGGGTGTGGGGCTGCTGGATGGTGCCTAGTGCCCCCCGAGTTCCTCTGGAAGAAGAGAAATGAATACTGGCATAATCAGTATCAGGTAAACCTGCCCACCCAAATGGCAACGTTTAAACTCCTAAGTCTCCAAGGCAATGTCAAATGCAAAGTCAAGGTGAAGTTCAAAATATCAAGGGAGCAGTACTCATGGTAAATTAGCCCTCGGTAAGCTATTAAGACAAAAGTTGCATCTATTCAAAGGTGATGTAAGCACTGTGACATTTGAAATGGGACTATAACTTTCTTCCTAGAGCCTAGATTCCACCAGCTTCAACTTTTAGGAAATAGGTTATTCACATCAAATCAGGTTTTGCCTGATGAAGTAGCCTTATCAAGGGTGCCTAAAATAAACAGCCAGGAAAGGAAGATGACCTATTTAAAACCTTGGCCTGATAGATTGCATATGCATCGATCTATTCTTATACGGAGGATTCGTATCTGGGCCAGCCTTTTGGGTAAATTGAATAGGTAGGATCAAAGGCTGGGAGAGTCCCCCCTCCACCCCGAGCCTATCCTTAACACCTGAAATTCCACAGTAGGAAGCCATTTCTTTTGCTTACGTCATTGTTTTATGTTACATACCCAGTGTGGTATTATAAACTGCCTAAGTAATTAACACCCAATTCTGAATTATTTTAGTCTTGTTTTCCAACAGAGCTGTGGAATATGCTTACACACCATAGCTATGCAGCTGGCTTTTAGCAAATTTGATTGGAAGATGCCAAAGACAACCTGCTTTTCTGTTTGCCAAGAGCAGGCCTTAACTTCCAGGCAGAGATGATGGGGCAGGCATCGTTTTATTGGTTTCCAAGCAACAAAGTAGAGGATGAATCACTGAGTCCATATAAACCATGGTCCTTAAAGGGACAAAACTGGGCTGATTCTTTCATTCAACAAATTTATTTTACAAGATATTGAATATCAGCCCAGTTTGGTCCCTTTGGGGACTATTTAATATCTTGTAGTAACTTACAACAACAAAAAAAAATGAAAAGAAATATATATGTATGTATATGTATGCCATCAATAAAAAAATATAAAACAACAAATTTACTTTGAATAACTTCTACTATGTGCAAAGCATCTTACTGGGCTTCTTGAATAATAGAAAAATTAATCAGATATTATTGAGAGGAAATGACTACTTATGAATGTTTTGGCCATGCTGGCCACTAGAGGCCCTTGGGGAGCCATGAACTAGATTTATGTTTGGTATCGACCTTTTCCTTGTAGTTTTAAGGTGTCATAAATGATTTCCCCTTTTGAAAATTCATGCCAAATGCCAAGTTCTCCCAAATAACCTGAAGAAACTACCAATGCTTGCAAAAAAGTAGTTTTCTCCAACCATTTATCTTGAATAGACCACAAGTTCTAAATTCTTCCCAGCTTATTTTTTGGCAGGAAAGTTGAGATTGAACAGGGGCCTTTGAGCTGTGGATTACTAATAATTTAGGCTATAAAATCTTCTGCTCTTAAAGGTATTCTGTCAAGTCATCCATGAAATTAACAAATAAGATAAGTGTAGATTTGGAGTATGTTTTCAATTAGCAAGGTGTTACTTGGTTTTTGACTTGAAAGAATGTCTTTGCTCTGTTTTTTTAAACAATGGGAATCACTGTAAAAACTGTATGGATTCTCTGGAGCACAGAGTATAGCTGACTGTCCAAACAAAAAGGCTTTAAAATCCAATTATTATTTATTTCCAGCTTTAGTGAGATACAACTGACATTTAATGTTGTGTGAATTTAAAGTGTACAATGTGTTGATTTGATTTACCTATATATTGCAAAATGATTACCATCAGAAAACTTAGTAGTGCTTGCTAATGCGGATGCTCATCTGTTTTACCACAAACATATCTTTGTATAAAAAGTGAATCATAAGTTTCTAGTTAATTACGATCTATGGCTTTCAGTTAGCCACACACGCAAGGCCATCCCAAAGCACCACCTTTTACTGATTCGCTCTTTTTTACCTTAGGAGCAGCACTTAGGATGTGGTGCTATTTGTTTCATGAACACTGACCTTGAGAAGCCATGGAGTGGTAGCAAATACTGCAAAGCTACACAGGCCCCTGTTTTGAAGCAAGGATCATTCTGTAGAAAGACAGTCTGATAGATCATTAATTATCCCAAGAGCTTTGTAGATAAGACATTTTTCTTAGGTATGTCTTGGTTTCCATAGACATAGCGATCACTCCCCACTTTGGATCATAGGGTAGTCAGCACCAAGATAGAGAATCTTAGTTGCCTTTCTTTCTCCCTTCCTTCCTTCCTTCCTTCTCTCTCTCTCTCTCTTCTCTCTCTCTCTCGTCTCTCTCTTCTTCTTCTTCTTCTTCTTCTTCTTCTTCTTCTTCTTCTTCTTCTTCTTTTCTTTTCTTTTCTTTCTTTTGACAAATATAATACTTTC